GGTATCCTTTGAGCTGCTGGTCTTCCTGTTTGGGTTCATTCATTGTTCCTTCTGGCCTGTGATGATTGGAATGAGAATGGCCCCCACAGGCTCATATGTTTGAGTACTTGCTTCCGCATTGGTGGAACTGGTTGGGAAGGATTAGAAGGCATAGCCTTATTGGAGGAGGTGTGTCAACTGAGGGGCAAGCTTTGGGTTTTAAATGATTTACGCCATTTCCAGTGTCTCTCTTAGTCTCTTTCTTAGGGATCAAGATGTAATCTCTCATCTGCTCCTTTGCATCATGAATCTAATCATGCAAAACCATAAGCCAAGTTAAATGTTTTCTTTTACAAATTGCCTTGGTCACAGTGTTTTATCCTAGCTCTAGATAAGTAACTAAGACAATGGCTGATGTTCCTCAGTCTGTACATAACCACTGGACGAACAACTCTTTTTCATTGGTCAACAGTACTTGCCACTTATTACATTTTGCAGCTATCCTTTAGAATTATACCTGCCTAGCTGGGATGCTGGACTACAATATTGTTTTTAGTATGCAGGGACAAGCTATTATAGTATGTCAAGTGCAGTGGTTAAGACCTAGTTTCAGGACATTGTGCTCCACTCTTGAGAAAGTGCCACATAGCTCTTGCTACACTTTCATACACAATCCCTGTCTGTACCACTGCCAGCCTTCAGGGAACTGTAGCATTTGTCTCTTCCAAGGCCGGAATCACCATCTCTTCCTATTCTTTAGGAAATATACCTCAGTATATTTTATCATTATTCTTTTCCATCTTTAAACTATTCCATAAATGCCAATGACAGTGTGTATGTATTTGTATGTAATTTACAACTTATAAAGCAAATGACCACATATCTACTACCTAACTTTATAAAATAAATTATCTCTGTAAAAATATTCTGTGATTCTAGGCTGACTTCCCCACACCTCTTTGCTGAGGTCAAATTATAAGGAGATGGTAGTGGGCTTAGTGATTTGTCCTTTGTGGCAAGAGAGAAAAGTATAAACACGGTGTCTAGAGGACACATTGAGCCATATGTAACAGACAGTCATATTATTATACTGGAGGCTGGTGAGGTCACATAGGCTACTTTTGCTTTCCGGCATTCTGGCAGGTGTTCAGAAACACTGAAACTCACCTGGTGTCTTTGTGTAAACATGAAATTGTTACTCTTGCTGTTTGCAATGACTGTGTGCACAAAACTCTATAAGACCTTGAATCCATAAGATCCTAGCAATCTCAGAGAACAAACCACAGTCTACCCTTCCACAATTCAAAGTCAACCCAAGTGGCTGCAGTGCTCCTCAGATGGGTTTCATCATTAACAAATGCCATACTCATGCCAGTTTTTAGGTAGAAAATCCCTCTCATTTCATGCTCCTTGTCCCATTACTGGACTTAAGAGCAAGCTGGGTTTTTTGGAATGCATAGCCTAGAAGTCATTTAGTAAGCTGGACTTGTTGTGATTACTACTAAAAGTGAGTCAGGCTTCATGTATTTGACATGTAGTGCATGCCCAGTAGAATCCTGAGAAGTAGTGTCCTAGGCCAAATGATCTCATGGCTCATGTGGGATATAATTATTATTTTTAGATAGCATTTCACTGTGTAGCTTTGGCTGTGCTGAAACCTGCCTTGTATACAAGTCTGGTCTATAACTATGATGCTTCTCCTATATCTGCCTCTTGAGTGCAGAAAGTAGATGCATGAATCATTATATCTGATCTGTCGTATTGAATTCATTTTTTCTTTGTGCGTGTTTGTGTGTGTGTGTGTGTGAGAGAGAGAGAGAGAGAGAGAGAGAGAGAGAGAGAGAGAATGCGAGAATGCATTTATATGTATACTTGTTCATATGTACAGAGATCATAAGGTGTCATGTCTTCTCCCCTATTTCTGTCTATTCCTTTGTGGAAGTCTCTCCTCAAACTTGAGCATCATTTTTTCTCAGCAAGTCCAGAAACCCCAGTGATACTCCTATTTCTAACCCCTCAGAGCTGCATCAGTGGTGTGCATGGAAGGCCTGGACTTTACATTATATTGAGATCCAAAGTCTTGACCTCATGATTGCACAGCAAGCATTCCTAATTGTTGAGCCATTTATCCCACACCACATTAAATTAAGTCCAGATAACCATAAGTATTAATTTACTCTGGACAATCCAGGGTTAGCAGTCTTATCCCCATTTATTTATTATAATGCAACACTTTTTCTTTAAGGCATCCCAGCTTTGGACAGTAATTTATATGGTCATTATTTTAGCCAACTTTTTTGCCATGACAACAAATCCTTTTAAAGTCATAGAGTCAAAACACCAACTCTGTAGGTTTTACTCATGGATCTGTGCCTCACTTGCAACTGTGCCACAGACTGTAAGTCTGCGCTAAATTTATTTCTCATTCTAGACCTGGGGCTTGTGCCATAAATAATTTTCAGGGTGCAAAGACTTGAAGATTAACCCTGTGTAGAGGGCTCTTACTCTTACACACTAGGTCAGGGCTCAAAAGTACCTCTGGTCTGAGGTTGATGATCTGTGTTCGGTCATCTTCCATTGGCAGAACAAGTCAATATCACAGACCAACACTTAGAATTCTGATTTAAACTGACTCCATGCAGGAGAGTATTATGACATGGGAGAGTACTCAGTAAATAATTCACAGTGACCACCTCACATTCCTAACCCCATTATCTCCTACCATCCCCCTCCTTCAGACTTTGCAGCTACTCTCCTTGCGGTGTTTGTCAAGGTTAATGAAGGAGTTTTGCCTGTATACAGAATATAGAATGTGTCAAGGAATTCCAGTACAATGTGTATCCTGGTCTGTGCTCAGATTCTACTATCGGGGCTGGGGATTGATGTTTGCTATGCCCATTAATGTGACCCCAGCTGGCTGTTGTAGAAGACTGCATCAAGAAAGACTTCACTTCACTATGTGAGATGTCACAGCCAAGTGGATCTTCACTGGCCCTACCATGTTGGGGATCTATGAAGCAACATGAATAATGCCTTTACATTGCCCCACTCTCTACCCGGGAATTTGTGTGTGTGTGTGTGTGTGTGTGTGTGTGTGTGTGTGTGTGTGTGTGTGTGTGTGAGAGAGAGAGAGAGGGGGGAGTGTTGGGCATTCCAAACCATCCTTGAATTCACTATTATTCCAGGGATGATATTGTACTTCTAATCCTCCTGCCTCTACCCCCCCCAGTTCTGGGAGCACTGGGGAGCTAGCTCTGGACCATGTGCATGCTAGGCAATCATTCTTCCATCTAAGCTACATCCCCAGCCCTGTGTCTGGGATTTTTCCATTTTGGTTTGGTTAGTGTCCCTTCACTGGTTAGTCTTTAGTGCTTGGTACTGATTGGATTTTTCTACAATTCCAGAAATTCCTTCTTATTACTTACTCAATGGTGATGCTGTCCCTTGTAGGAAATTGCATATCTTGTTTCAGTGAGATATTTGAGCTCAGTTGATGAACTGAAACAGGAATCCCAGTGTTACAAGCAGAGATGTAATATTTGTATGCCACAACAAAGATTGATTGGGAGACGTGGGGGTATCCATTTGTTCCATCAGCAGCCTGGCAGCTGGCTCCTTTCAATTTTCATAACAAAATGAATATCATTTCAGAAGAACCACCAATGTCACAGTGAAAAGCATGACTAGTAGTTGGTCAGTTTTATTCAGTGGGTAAGTAGTGTAGGTCCTACATGATTTCACAGGAATATGACTTGTCAGAAATCGCAGAACACTTATGGGCATTATATTTTTTAATATCTCCAAAATATGAGCCTATGATGGTCTGAAGTCTGCCATCATACTATGTCTCCAAAACTTAGCTACTATCTGTCACATAATAGATATTCAGAGTGATCTAGGGGGAGCAGTACAGGTTTAAAAAATGACTGGTAGAGGCAAAACCTGGGGAGAATTTTGGGGGCCTAGGATATATAGAAGCATCCTTTAAAGTACTAGTGTCAAAGATGAGATCAGATTCCTGCTTCAGTCTCTCTGACCCTACCTTGAGATAGGAACCCAGGAGAGACTAGAGTCTGCCTTGAAAGGTATGGGTATAGCTGTAGAATATTGTGTAGCCATGGGGCTGTCATGTCACCATCATTGTCAACTGTATCCTCTTGTCCTTGCCCCTTTGAGCATGCCTGCAGACCTCCTCTGTGGCTTCAGCTTTGACTTCAGTGTGGGATTTTCCTCTGGACATTGAAGCTCATATTCCTCCTAGGCTGTATGCTGAAGTGCTGATATGAAATGTTCTTTAGAACTTCTGTCAAGTCAGTGATGGAAAGGAGTGGTTAGAACCCAGGACCTCCACTTCTTGGGTGGGATAGCTCTGAGGTGCATGGAACTCCTCCAGCAGCTTAAACTGTAGCTCCCAGTCTGATAAGTGGCTTGATGATACACAATATACTACATCCCAACTTTGCCTATCTTTGGTTTTTACCCCTTCTAAGAAAACCTCTTGCTCATGAATAGATGCCTCAGGGTTTATTACTGGGGAAACTCAAACTGTGACAGTTTGGGTTCTGAAGACACAAGTGGTAGATATACTTTATGCTACAAAATGCACTAATCATGTGAGTTTAGATCCTTAAGAATTTAATAGAAAGAACAATGTGGTTTAGTTACTAAATTGTATGACTCTTTGAAATGACAGAGTAAATTTGAAAGACAGTTAAAAGTTCCATGCTCAGAAAACTTTAATGATACGTATATGATAGTCTCATACAACTTGCAGGAGCTCTAAGTGTCTCCTTTAATACATCGTGTTTTGTTAACAAAATTTGCATGCAGTGTTATCTTCTTTTTCCTTTTGCTCTTGGAACCTCTGGTTTGTATCTGAATCCTCATTGTCAGGTAACACTGCAGCATCTCCCAGCCTGGCCTTCAGAGTTGGCCTGAGATGGTCTTTCTGTCTGGATTGCACAGTGGGTGGTCATAAAAGATATAATTGCACTGATTGACTTTCTTTTTCTTCTTTGCAGATATCTCTGTGAGCCTGCTAACCCTTGTGGTTACTGCCTGTGGTCTTGCCCTCTTTGGTGTCTCTCTCTTCGTGTCTTGGAAACTGTGCTGGGTTCCATGGCGGGAGCGAGGCCTGTTCTCTGGTAGCAAAGACAACCAAGAGCCTCTTAACTGCACAGACACAGAGACCAATGAGCAGGAGAACAGCGAGGACTTCCTAGACCCACTCACACCCTGCCCTGACTCCTCCATGAAGATCAGCCACACTTCCCCCGACATTCCCCTTTCCACCCAGCCAGGTGGCCAAGAGAACTGTGCCCATGCCATCCGTGTGCAGCGACAAGTCACAGAGCCAACGCCATCAGCTCGGTCAGTAATGCCACCTCTTTTATGAATGCAAGGCAAGGACCACCCTATCCCCCTTTCTTGCCAGTCATGGTACTGACTAGCTGAGGATCAGGTAATCATCTGGATGTCCACTCAGACTCACAAACATGAAAATGGTAAAACTCTGGCTCTTTGCTGGACTTAATTCCAGAGCTCTGCTTAGTTTCTATAAAATCCATAAAAGTAATGATTAACGTTGCTCCCACATCATATTTTTTTATTTTTGTATAGTTTACAGTTCTGACATGTGAACTATTATTTTAATTTTTTAGTAAGGAGGATGTACATTACTATGCACCCAACTCAGGTTCTGGATTTTAAAATCTGAGCTGTTAAGTACTTTTCTTATAGCATCTTCCTGCAACCATAAAGTTGACTCATTATGATTCTGACCTATCCTTGCATTTGTAAATAGGCTTACTTCAGCTGCCATGATATAAGTCTTTGTCCACCCCACAGGTTTTGTAACAATTGCAGATTACTAGGAGTGGGATTTCTATTGTCTGAATGTTGTGTGTTCCTTTTTGTTTTGTTTTTGTTTTTTGAGACAGGGTTTCTCTGTAGGTTTGGAGACTGTCCTGGAACTCTCTTTGAAGACCAGACTGGCCTCGAACTCTCAGAGATCTGCCTGCCTCTGCCTCCCAAGTGCTGGGATTAAAGGCATGTGCCACCACCGCATGCTGCGTGTTCTTAAGCAGTGGATAAATAAGGGTATACTGATTAAAAATCTGGGATGTAAAGAACTGCTTTATTTTCATGCGTAGCATATGTGGCATTGAACAAAATATATAACCTCCATATGTGTCATTTTGGCTTCTGTAACAGAAGGATAGTAGAAGCCCTAACTTAGGAGTGACTTTGAGGTTAGAATAGTAGCACATACTTGCACAGATTTGCACTGGTGATACTGTCATCTTGTCTTCCTCATTGCTATTTTCACACAATTATCACTGAACTGTAACTCTTCCAAGATGCTGAGGTTGAGGCACACCTCTTCCAAAATGCTTAGGTTGTGCAGAGGAAACCAATTCTGATCACTGGTTATAAGAGATTTTAGGAAAGAAGACATGGCAATCAGCCTGTTTTTAAAATTTAAATATTTGCTTGAGTAATAGCCAGAGGAATAACATATTCAATTATTATTTTGAAAATATGAACATAGTTTGGGATGTTTTACAAAAGCTCTTTCTGTTCTCTAGAAACAGGAATGATAATGAAGTTTATCCTAGAGACTGCACTCATTCACATTAAGTGTGATAGAATATGACAGTTTATGGTTTGAATTTTTTCCAGAAACTTATTTTAGCATTACTTCTAGTTCTGTATCAAAAAACAAAACTTAAAATAGTCCTCCTTAAAGAAGTTGTTTTTTGCCTTTTGAGTTACAAGAAATCCTCAGACTTTATCACAAGGATTTCTCTTTAGATAACTAGAGTTGATATCACCATGGAGTTCACACATTAAGATCTTTTTAGTGTCCCCAAGATCTGGAGCTTTTCTTGTGGGTCACTACTCTTTCAGTTGATACAGAGTGATAAAAATGTTCCCTATAAATTTGATCTGTGCATCCAGTCCTATAATTAACAAACTGATATCAATGATATCTCTGTAATTATCAGTGTTTATCATGAAAATGTTTAGATATACTGTATAAAGAAATGTGTTTAAAAGAGAAAACCAATTGTGAGCATCACAATGGATTTATGGAAACTCAGTAGAAGAAATTAAAGAACAATGAAGGACTAATCCCTGTGAAATGCATTTTATAGTCAGATTATTTTAAATTTGAAGATATGCAATTAAATTATCTTTCAAACACTGAAAATTGGGTTCAGTAACAGCAGAACTGCCATTAGCAATCTGAATGCTTTTCCACTGCATTTGACCCAGTATTAACAATTTGCATTGTTATGCTTTTTAAAACATTCATACCTAAAGTACTACTGACCTACTTCCTTTTGTTCTTCCTGGAAATGAGTCTTTGTCTAATAGCAGTATACCTTACACTCATCCTCAGATTTATTAGTAATTGTTTTTTTTTAGAATGTAGCATACACACCCATACCCATACCCACACCCCCCCCACACACACATACACACACACACAGGAGGCAGTGTGTGTTTGTCTGGGTATGGGTATGCTTGCTGTGGGGGCTTTCCTTGGGGACTTGTAAATCAACTCTTTCTTCATACAACACCACCAACAAACCAAGTATAATCCCATAAGTGTCTAACCTAAGGAACCAATGAGTGTATTGGGTTACTTACAGGAGCGTGGATGACTGCAAAGCAGCCACACCAGCAGAAAGTCTCACTTTAGCATAGCCAATGACTTCCCATAACTATAACTAAATAGTAGGAGCTGCCCACCACCTCAGTTAACCTGCCACAGGCTAAATTCTCTAATAATTCCTAGGATCATGAGGCCGCTTGAAATTAGGTTAGAACTACATACAAATGGTAGAAGTTGTGGAGGAGGGGCAGGAATCTCAGGTAAGGGTCCAGTGACCCTCTTTGTATTCTTCTATGAGGGAACCCCAGTAGTTAACAAGCTGGATTTCAGTGGCCTTTTGCTAGTAGTCATATCTGCTCTGCTGAAGATGTCTGTATATGCTTGAAGGAAGTACTCTACAATACATCACACACACACACACACACTCACTCACATACACACACTTTTACTGGCAAAATGGAAACATAAATTAAATTTCCTTCCTTAATTCAGAAGATTGGTATTTTCTTATGGTTCTAAGAACCAAATGTAGGAGCTTTTCACTGAACTACATTCACAGCTTTCTAAGCCATTTGTAACATTCTCTTTAAGTGCCATGGTTATAAGGATAAAGGCAGGTTCTGCTAAATGGTCCAGAACCTTCTTCCCTTCCTGTTTTTACTCCTTCTGCCTTCATCCCCCATATGTCTTTCTTTTCCACTGTCTTGCTGTTTCCATCCAGTCACTGTTATCTCTTGTCCCATGGTTTCTAGGGCAGCTTCTAGGTTCAATGCACACAAGTATTCAGGGTACGCTCCTTGTTACTATGGTTGTCATAGCTTCTGTTGCAACATTTACATAGGAAATCACCTCTTTACCTGGCCTCTTCCCCCTGGGAATGTTGGGCTCACATCATTGCCTAAAAATGAGCTATGCTTTATCTTCTAAGGATGTCAGCTGGGCAGTGATGGTACGTCCTTTTAATCCCAGTACTTGAAAGGCAGAGGCAGGTAGGTCTCTATGAGTTCGAGGCCAGCCTGATCTACAGTGAGATCCAGGACAGCCAGGGGTACACAACACAGTGAAACCCTGTCTCTAGAAATCACACATACACACACACACACACACACACACCAAACAAACCCAAAGCATAGCAAAAGAATGCTTCTTGTCAGCATAAGTTTCTGCTGTTCCCCCAAGGCCAAGCATGTAAAAATTCTGTGTCTGGTTATTTCAGTTACTGCTACAATAACCCAAAATTCCTGTTAACTTTTTTCATCTGGGTGAGACCTTCCTTGAAGTATTGACCTAATATTTTGGGAATGTGAACATCTTACTTTCCTCAGAATTGTTCAATATCAGAGCTTTCTAAGAAAGCTTGAATATATGAAACTTCCTGGGTCCCCAAAGTAGAGGGAACCCCAAATGCCATCTACTCAGTTTCCTACATCCTGTCCCATGATGGAAGTCCAGGCTTTTTTCCCTCAATATATGTTTTTATTTAAATTAGAAACATGCGTGCTTCACGTGTCAATCCCAGCTCCCTCTCCCACCCCTCTTCCCTTGTCCCTCCACCAACCCACCCCAGCCCCCAGCCCAATCCCCACATCATTCCCCAGGGAGGGTGAGGCCCTCCTGGAGGGATCTCCGTAGTCTGTCATTTCATTCATGGCAGGACCTAGGCCCTTCCCCATGTGGCCAGGCTGAGAGAGCATCCCTCCATGTGGAATGGATTCCCAAAGTTCATTTGTACGCCATGATAAACACTGATCTACTACCCAAGTCCCCAGAGATTTCTGAGGCCTCCTCACTGACACTGCATTTGTGGAGTCTAGATCAGTCCCCTGTTGGTCTCTCAGCCATCAGTCTGGGGTTCAAGAGCTCCCAGGCTTTTTTTTTTTTTAGCCTCAATTTTCTTGCCTAACCCTTTGCTTTTATAACAACTTAACAGGTGACAACAAACTCCTTATAAGATCTGTGAAGGTCCTGCATCCTCCTGCCAGGGCCACCATGTTGCCCTGCTCTAGAGTTTCTGTTCACCTGGACCTGATAGAAAGCTCAATGCTCTCAGCTACCCTTCCCTGCTCCTTGCTGTGTCTGAGCCTGTTCTTGCCTAGAGTCCTTGACACATGCTGTTCCCTCAGCCCACAGATGCTTTTCCTTTTACCCTTATCTTCCCTCTTTTACAGTGGTAATGTCCTCGCTTGGACGTCCCTGCTCAGGAGGCTCAGTCTCCCCACCTGAGCATATGTTCTGTCCTCGGTTGCCTCCCACTCTGCATGTTTTGTGTTCACTCCTTCATGACATTTGGCTCTGTTTCCAAGTACTTTTCACTAGACTGCTGTGAGAACTCAAAAACCATATCTATTTTGTTTCTTTTCCTGTGTCTAGTCCCTGGTACAGCTTTGGGAACAGCAGACTTTCTTCTATGAATGGCTGACAAAATACATTGGCCAGTAGAAGGTTCCATTTTTTCTGACAAGGATGGCAGAAGGTCAGAAGTATAGACTGCACAGGGCCATTAATGGTGGAAAGTCATTCATCTCAGGCTTCACACTTGTAGACCTTTGACCTTAAAGTAAATAATTCACTGAGTCATGGAAATTAACTGACAGAGATTGAAGATGAAGATAACTATCAGTCTTCACATTCGGATCCCTTCATTGGCTACAATCCCAGTAAAGAGTACTGAACTTAATGTTGTCACAACTCTTATGTGACATTCCTATTTTCATGGCTAGAATTGAACCCAGAATCTCTAGTATACTCT